AAATAACCTTATTGCTGGTGTTATTATTAGGAATAGTATATTACTAGATACATTAGATGTCAGTGTATTGAAAACAAGGATATCAAGGAACTATATCAACTGGAAATATTTGGCATATAGACACATCCTATATAAAACATAGATCCTGTATACAGCTATAAGACAGCCTACTAATACTAACATGTCATTTGATTTATTTATTGCTTGCTCTGCTTCTAGCATATACTGAGACAGTAAACGATGCTATCCAAATGCACAGCCTCTTAAAAGCTTTCCAGATCACTTGATAGTTCAATTTCTGATTAGTATCATCAGTTTACTGTATTTATTCTAGGGAGATGAGATCCTTTCGCAGGCATCCGAGGCAAGCCTGACAGAGGATGAGGAGGTTTCTATGGTCACAGGAGAAGATCCTACAGAGGTATTTTTCAAAAGGCAGGATGACTAATGTGATGGTTGTGTTTTAAGCAGCTATCATACTTTACATCTGAATGAGACTCAAAATCATCATCTGTTTGCCTGTGCAGCAAATATAAAACTGCATTTTTTAAAAAAGGGGTGACTATAATTTGAACATTGCAATTAGAATTGAAATGCCACTATTTTTTATTCTCAATAGATCATTTTATACAGTCTCTAATTGGAGACAAACATGGGAACATGCAGGCTAAGTGATCAGGAGAGAAAATTAGATTTTCTTTGACGTGGAAAGGCAAAAATACTACATTTCTGTAGTAGTAAAAGTGGAAAGAAAAACAAAGATATGAATGTGAAGGCATATTTCAGCTCTTACAACTTACCAACCCATGGATTGAGGAGGCAAAGCAAATGTAGTTCCCATCCTCTGCTTCCACCTCAAGTCAATGCACTATGCATTTGGTAATCTGTTTTTGCTTGTTTACGGTTTATAAAACTGTAGAATAACTTACTTAGATTGGAAACAAATAAAGTCAGTAGTATATAATGTAAATAGTCAATGTTATCCTTTTTGTATGCTAATATCACAGCAAATGTATATGCAGTGAAAGGTCACCGATGGTGGTGTACAGTGTAATAATAATAAAAATTAAAACTTTATTTTTAACCCGCCCTCTCTCTCCAAGGAGACTCAGGGTGGCTTCCAAAGTAAAATTGGCAAACATTCAATGCCAGTACAAAACATAACAAAGAATTTACAAACAAACGTAATTCAATCAGAAATATATAAGACATATAATATAAAACTTATTATAAAGGACAAAATTACACAGATTAAAATACATATCAAAATATAGGTCACCCTAATTTAAAATTACTTGTGGTCAGTAACATCTCAAAGTAGAATCGGTGGTTCTCTACAGTCCTTCCTCTGTGTATTTTGTATCCCTCGCTCTTCTATACTTAAGCATATCTTTTTTCACCAGGAACAGGATGAAGAAGAGGAGTCAGAAAATACTGGTAGGACAGTTCTTAAAGATAGTGATGAAGACAGTTCTGATTAAACTGGACCACATCACTGGATAAACTAACTCACAAGACAGATGATTGAAACCTGTAAGATGAAAGAAACAATATTGACTATGCAACTCAAAACTCTATGCTGCAGTTGTCCAGGCAATGCTAAAGTAAGGTAGACTATTACCTGGACTTTAAAAGTGTATTTTCACTGTCTTTAAATATTTCACTTTCTATAATGATTTAAAGCCTGAAAACCAATTGTTAAGCACTTTCCCCCACTTGCCCCTCATTCCTTTCACTATAGTTTATATTTGGCTCTGTATCTAGTCGTAGCTGCTCTATACTGTTCTAAGAATATCTGAATGTAAAATATGTATTTGGACTGATTAAAATGTTTTGTTGTGATGTCAGGTGTAGGGTTGCTTGTTAAGAGGCAATGCTAACTGTTCTTTTGTATGAAATCCAACCATATTTAGGGATTTCTATGGCTGGGATCTCTTGTTGGAGACATTTATATGTTGATTAGTTATGGGGAAATTGTGGCATTCCAGATATTGAGACCGCAAGTGCCATCCTCCATCATCTTTGGCTATCCATGCAATAGTAGATAAGAGCTGCAGTGCAGAATCTGGTGGAGCATTTGTTTCCCCTGGCAGAAGTTTAACTTATGTTGGTAAAACAACCCAATAAAACAGTTGGAAAACTGCTCATCACGGTTGTGATGCCAAGTGAATGTATATTCGAGGAATTAATGAACTGGGGTGGATTTTTAGAATGTGGTTGGAGCTGAAACTGGAAAACTTATATATGAGGTACAAAAAATTGTTTTGTTGATCCCTCTGTTTGATAAGATTGCCACGATCTGTTTCAGGTTTCCTGCCCCCAGCACAGGTCTACATTTTAATCAATAGATATTATAGTTATATTTTTTAGATTATAATCATAATCTAAAGCCAATTTTATGTGGCTAAGACCACTGAAATCAGTGCGCCAACACTGTTTTGTATTGTGGCCGTTATATTTATGCACTTTTAGGATGAGATATCCTGTTTTAAAAGCATATTCTAGAAAACCATTTCTTTGGGAACTTTAGTTACAATGTTCACTTTTTTTCTCTTTCTGCTCATTGCAAGTTTTCAGTACTACTACAAATACAGTGTTCTGGTTTGTAGGTTTTAGGCATTGTAGGAGACTATGTATCAATTCCTTTTAGATGTATTTGCAGATAAATAAAGCTGAAAGGTCTACCATTTGCTTTGTGAAGTGCATCGTGACTGGTTTAATATCAGAATGCCTTTCCTATTCATCGTATGCAGCCTAACCATTATAAGGAATAGTACTATATCACATATCCATGCACACTGACAAAAAGGAAACTTTCGTGTTCTAATTCCATGATCAATTATCTTCATTTTGGGGAGTTCTGTTCAATTTGCCAGAAGTTTGTCTAATCACATGTTTGTTGCTATTTCTCTAAGCATGTATTTCAAAGAAGGAAAAACATACCTTTTCTTCGCCAGAACTAATTGTTCTGTCTCTTTATTCATGGCATCTCTGAAATTATTAATTCAAAGATATAAACTGTGTTTTTTACCTAGTCTTCTAAACTCTTTGTATCTTTTGACACATGCAGAGTGCTTTCCAAAAGTGAATTTTAAAAATCAACAAATTCTTCTGATAGAAGAGTGCCACTGATTAGCTGTAGGGCAATCATAGAATCCTAGTGTAGGAAGAGACTCCAAGGGCCATCCAGTCTTACCCCCTTCTGCCATACAGGAAAAACGCAAAGCACACCTGACAGATGGCCATTCAGCCTCTGCTTAAAAACCTCCACTCCACATTTGCATATGTCTGTAGGACAGCAAATTTTTCCTCTCCCCCACACTTGTTAAACAAAGCAATGTTATAGTTGTTCTGTCAATTACATTTCAAACCCATTGGCGGCGGCAGCAAAGTGGCTTTTATTGATTTGAAATAAACAGAAACTGAATAGATTGGAAATTGTGTTTCACCCTTTAGTCCCCTAACGGGCTGATTCCCTCAAGGCCAAGAAAGAGAAAAATAATAATTTATTTCTTACCTGCCTCTCTTCTTGTGGCTCGAGGTGGGTTACAGAATAATTAAAACACATAAGCATTGTTAAAATACTACAAATACACATTAAAATGTATTTCTAAGAAATAATGACCTCTGTGTGCATTGAGATCCCTCCAGACCAGCGATGGGCAAGCTTCAGCCCTCCAAGTGTTTTGGACTTCAACTCCCACATTTTCTAACAGCCTCGGGCCCTTTTCTTTTCTTCTCCTTTTCTGCTTAAGCAGTGGAAAAGGAAGGGGCCTGAGGCTGTTAGGAATTGTGGGAGATGAAGCCCAAAACACCTGGAGGGCCAGAGTTTGCCCATACCTTCACTGACAATGGAGTAACGTTGGAAGTAAATGGAAGGCCTGTGTCACTTCTGCTGTATGGTTTCTAGCATCATTTGCTGCTGAAGAAGCTAGTGGCACTTCCACAATATGGGTCACTGACAAGCTCCATTTCTAAGTTTTTAGATTTGTATGTGTGTCAGGAGTGACTTGAGAAGATGCACGTTGTTTCTGGTGTAAGAGAATTGTCCATCTGCAAGGATATTGCTCAGGGGACACCCAGATGTTTTGATGTTTTACCATCCTTGGGGAAGGCTTCTTTCATGTCTCCACATGAGGAGCTAGAGCTGAAAGATGAAGCTTATCCGTGCTCCCCCTGGATTCGAACCTTCAACCTGTTGGTGAGCAGTCCTGCCGGCACAAGGGTTTAGAACACTGCGCACAACACTAAGTGAATTAGAGTAACAATGTGATCAGAGGATTGAGGGTGCATCTGCACGGTAGAAATAATGCAGTTCAACACCATTTTAACTGCCATGGCTCAGTGCTATTGCATCCTGGGAGATATAGTTTGGTGAGGAAGTCATAGGGAGGAGGGAGCAAGCTTGTTTTCTGCTGCTCTGGAGACTAGGATGTGGAACAATGGCTTCAAACTACAAGAAAGGAGATTCCATCTTAACATTAGGAAGAACTTCCTGTTAGAGCTGTTCAGCAGTGGAACTCTCTGCTCTGGAGTGTGGTAGAGGCTCCTTCTTTGGAAGCTGGATGGCCATCTGTCGGGGATGCTTTTAATGCAATATTCCTGCTTCTTGGCAGGGGTTCGACTGGATGGCCCATGAGGTCTCTTCCAACTCTAGGATCCTATGAGGCACCAGCACTGTTGGGCAGAGAAGGCTAAAGGCGTTGCAAACTACAGCAGTGAGTCATGGCTGTCAAAGGGATGTCAAACTGCATTCATCCTACAACAGGCCTGGGCCAACTTGGGCCCTCCAGGTGCTTTGGGCTAACCCAGGCCTCTTCCTAAAAGGCAGATACACCGGAAGGCTTTTGCAGCCAAACTAGCACCTCCCAGCAGCAAAGAGGAGATGAAGCGCCCCGCCCACTTCCGTTGCGTCATAGCTAGTGGGCGGTCCCCGTTCTCTTCAGCGTTTCCGTCACGGACAGCCACTGCGCAAGACCGTGGAGGGTGCCTGGGCACGCATGCGCAGTCCCACCTGCGGCCTGTTCCGGAAAGCGGTAAGGAAGCCTCGGTGAGTGAGCAGCAGGTGTGCGCAGGCGCGGTGGTTTCCGGGGCTGGGGAGGCTGCCATGTCGGTTCAGGAGGACCCGGTCCAGCGCGAGATCCACCAGGACTGGGCCAACCGCGAGTACATCGAGGTCATCACCAGCTCCATCAAGAAGATCGCGGACTTCCTCAATTCCTTCGGTAGGGAGCGGCCTCCCTCTCCCTCCCCCGAGTGAGGCTGTCAGCCCCTTGGCCTGCCTGCGTGGGGGTCCCAGCCATTCACTCCCTTCTTTCCCTTCCTCTCTTTCCCCCACAGACATGTCGTGCCGCTCCCGCCTGGCCACGCTCAACGAGAAGCTGACGGCGCTGGAGAGGCGGATCGAGTACATCGAGGCCCGGGTGAGAAGGCGGGTCATTGAGGGGATGGAGACCCCCCCCCCCGCCCTCCCTTTCCCTTCCCCCCCCCCTCCCATCACAGCCACCCACTCTCTTTCCCCCAAATAGGCTCTAATGAAACTAGCGTTTGTAACAAGGCTTTGGGGCTTAAAGAAATTATTAGTATTATCATTATTTAAAGGGCGTTGTTATCATTATTTAAAGAGCCGTGTTATTATTAGTAGTATTTAAGGTGTTATTTATTCATATTATTTAAAGTACCATTTATTCTTAGTCTTATTATTTAAAGAACCCTGTATGTTATTTAACAAAACATTATTATTATTAAAAGATTATTATTACTATTATTATGAAAAGATCCATATTATTATTTAAAGAGCCTTATTGTTATTGCTATTATGAAAAGATCCTTATTATTATTATTATTATTATTTAAAGAGCCTTGTTATTATCTTTATTTAATATATTTATTGCCTTATTATTATTATTGCTATCATGAAAAGATCCTTATTATTATTATTATTATTATTATTATTATTATTTAAAGAGCCTTGTTATTATCTATATTTAAAGACCCATATTATTATTAGTAGTAATTACAGAGCCAATAATAATAATAATAATAACTTTATTTATATCCCACCACCATCCCCCCAAAGGGACTCAGGGCGGCTTAAACATTGAGCACTAGATTGTTTTTAGGGATTGTGATGTATAATGGATTGTTTTAATTACTGTTTATATGTTTTATTTTTTACCTTGTTGTTGTGCCAGCATCGAATTGTGCCTTTTTGTAAGCCGCCCTGAGTCCCCCCTCGGGGGTTGAGAAGGGCGGGGTAGAAGTGCAAGAAATAAATAATAAAGTACATGAGGCCAAGCCCGTCAAATACAAATACAACAATATATCAACAAACAAGCAAGCAAATAAAACAATATATCAGCAATATAAACAATATTGTTGATATAAATAAAACAATACATCAACAAGCAAGCAAATAAAGCAATATAAATAATACATTTATTCTTATTATTTAAAGTACCATTTTTTCTTAGTCTTATTAGTTAAAGAACCCTGTACTGTTATTTAACAAAACATTGTTATTATTAAAAGATCATTATTATTACTATTATTAAAAGATCCATATTATTATTATTAGTAATAGTAGTATTTAAAGAGCATTTATTATTATTATTATTATTATTATTATTATTATTATTATTATTTAAAGAGCCATTAATATTTAAAGAACCATTTTATTATTATTGTTAATATTATTTAAAGAGCCATATTATTATAACAGTGGTGGCCCCTCAGTACTTTCTCCAAGGGAAGTACCTTCTCTCCAAGGGAAGGGTCAATGCACTGTTAGATAAGTGCAAGTATAATTGAAAGTTTGGATTTTTGTAAAGCAGCACTGGCAAAGTCGCTTCTGCCTCAAGCAATTGTGTGGCCAGGCCTTTCCTCTTTCTATACACCTTTCCAAATCAGGATTTGCCCATGTTTAATTTTGTATTATATTTTGGGTGTTCCTGTGGGTATGTAAGAAACATCCAGGACCCAACAAAGCGGTGTTTTTTTATGGGGAAAAGTCCGTATTCTTGCTCCCCTTAATAGAAATCCAGGATCTCACACATTTGGGACTTGGTAATCTGCAATGCAGTCTTATGGGAATGGCCTTGTCACAAAACTTACAAGTCTCAGCCTTGTACGTGTTCTCAGAGCTCAAGTTTATTCTCCCTCACACAAGAAGTTCCATTGTATATTAATCAGTCCCTTTTCTTCCTCTCGGCAGGTAACAAAAGGTGAAACGCTGACATAAATATGCTGGAGGCTGGCAGGGATCCAGCCGGGAAAGGAACGTGCAGCTCTTCACAAAGCTGATGCTCAGACATTAAGTTTCTTCATTACTTAATACGGATGAGAGTTATGCTTGTTTCTGCCCCTCAGGAAGCTGCACCAACCCCATCCCCCCAAAAATTTTGAGCCTGTGACTTTATGTGGGTGATTCCAGATGAAACTGCAAAATTGTACAGCTGCATGTTTAATTCTGTGGGTTTTATACAAGCTGATTCATGCAACCTGTGTTATTTAGTCCTCCCTCCCCAATGCTTGTGAAGCTACTCTTGCTTTGCAGCGACCAAATCCTTGTGAAACCAAATCTTCATTTCTAGGACCACAATTTTATTACGGTTATTATTTTGGATTTAAACAGATGTTGGGGACTGTTCCTAGTGGGCAACTATTTCAAATATACATTATACATATTCCGCAGATGGCTTTTGTTGCTGGAAGATATCAAATGGCTTGTTGTGCTGCAGCTGTTTAGTAAAATAAATGTGCAGTATATATGGGGATAGGGGTGGGGGAAAAACCATGTGCCAAGGGAGGGGTTAACTCGGTTTTCTAAGTATTTTTTATTCTGTAATGCAACTTGGGATGTCTTTTCCATTTGTGTTTCAACAATAAAATATCTCTGGATAGCATGTAGTAGTTTGGAGCCTTGCTATAGAGTGTATGTAGCTGTGCAGTTCGAAAATGATGTGAGCACCAAAAAGATGCCATCATTCCCTTACGGTTCACATGCTCATCATAGTTCCTGTGTGTTTTGTGAGTGGCCGTTCTGCCACCTGCCAGTAATTATATAAAGCAGGTATATGCTTTTTATATGAGAATTCTTATATTTTATTTTTATAAGATTAATTAATACATCTCCATAGCATTACCAGTTTATAAGGAGTGGGATTTTCTCTGCTCTAGGTCAGGCCTTATATGATAAATCCCACTACTTAATGATTCTTTCAGGTACGCAATTTCTCAATCTGGTAGTTATGAAAAAGGACCTACCAATTACTTAGCTAATTGGCTTGTAAATTATGAATAATAAAGGATATTTTGCTATTATCCACAAAAGAGGGCTGGAGCAGTGTATCCTTACAGATACTGCTCAGCTCCAACTCCTCTTAGCCTACCACAGTGTTTCTCAACCTGGGGGTCGGGACCCCTGGAGGGGTCACGTGGTGGTGTCAGAGGGGTCGCCAAAGTCCATCAGAAAACACAGTATTTTCTATTGGTCATGGGGGTTCTATATGGGAAGTTTGCCCAATTCTATCTTTGATGTGGTTCAGAATGCGCTTTGATTGTAGATGAAGTACAAATCCCAACAACTATAACTCCCAAATGTCAAAGTCTATTTCCCCCAAACTCCAGCACTCTTCACATTGGGGCATATTGAGTATTTGTGCCAAGTTTGGTCCACATCTTTCATTGTTTCAGTCCAAAATGCTCTCTGGATGTGGGTGAACTACAACTCCAAAACTCGAGGTCAATGCCCACAAAACCCTTCCAGTGTTTTCTGTTGGTCATAGGAGTTCAGTGTGGGAAGTTTGGCCCAATTCCATGATTGGTGGAGTTCAGAATGCTCTTTGACTCTAGGTGAACTATAAATCCCAGCAACTAACTCCCAAATGACAAAATCAATCCCCCCCTCCCAACCCCACCAGTATTCAAATTTGGGCGCATTGGGTATATGTGCCAAATTCAGTCCAGTGAATGAAAAGACATCCTGCATATCAGGTATTTACATGACAATTCATAATAGTAGCAAAATTAGTTATGAATTAGCAACGAAGATAAAGTTATGGTTGGGGGTCACCACAATATGAGGAACTGTATTAAGGGGTCACGGCATTAGGGAGGTTGAGGACCACTGGCCTACCAGCATAACCAGGAGAGAGGGATTTATGTGGAGTCTGCTTGGTCTAGCCGAGGTGAGTAACTTCCACCAGTCCAGAAGCTGAATTTCCACCTCTAGCACTGACAGTGGACTGCGTGAGATATGGAAATATGAAAAATAAACAAATATTGTTGCTTTTTTTATGCAGGAACCTTGGAGGAGGAACTGATGGGTTGCAAAAGCAAATTTGGTAGCTGTGATCAACCCACTTTTGGTTTGGAATAACTAAAAGCTTTTGAAAGCTTGTTTTAGCTGTGGTCCTGTCCCCACAAGCCTGGACATAAGTCTCATTCAATTACGCTTCAGTAGAAATATATATGTATCTGTCTGTTTGTCTATCTATCTATCTATCTACATACACACACACATATACATATATATATACACATACATACACATGTGTATGTATACACACATATATATGTTTTGCTGTTATGCTTAACAGCTTCTTCAGATAACAAACACCTTATGAAATAAGATCAGTTTTGTAATTAAGAAGCTCATCAACCACAAATAAAGCACTACAGGAAAAGATAGCAGAAGACTCAATTCTTTGATGCATAGACAGCAGTAAATTTCAGTGAACAACAATAGGACTTTGAGTAATTATGCAAAGGAATATGCTGATGGTTAACTTGTACTTCTAACAAGGCTAGTACAAGAAAAGACACTGTGTTTATCTGCTTCTCTTTATTATTAACACATGTAGCAAGGAGGGGGAGTCCATATGTGGTAAGAGACAGTGTTCTTATATTATTTCTTCCATTATTTGATGCGAATATAAAATGTGCACTGTGGCGTTTTCTGTTGTGGGGCCAAGACCCCATGGGGCTGCATATTGGCAGTGCACAAGGTCATGCATTTGACTCCCACCTCCATTGCTCTGGCCAAGGAAGGACAACTGCTTTGGGCCTATTTCTTTGTAAAAGGCTTTTGAAATTAAGCCCATATCTGGCTTAATGGGTAAATTTAAGGACAACTGGTATTGGAATATATGACTTCAGGGATCAAAGCAAACTTTCATTTTTTCCCATGCATTTGAAGTCTTGGGATGCAAACCTTTTTATATTTACCTGGGAGTAAGCTCCACTGGACAGAGTAACACTTACTTCTGAGCAGACATATATAGAATTGCACTGTAAGGCAGCAGGAGATTTTAGCATTATTTCCATACAAGGTAAGAGATTCATGGAAATATATTGGATTCATGTCAAGTAAAGATGTCTTATTCATATCATGGATGCTAAACTTACTCCCATTTGGAAGCATGAATGGTAACAAATGTTTTCAGTGAGCCTTGCAGTGATACTTAGTATAAGTATCTTGCCACTTGGAATCCCACCCATGAGAGAAAGGTGGGATAAAAATGCATATATAATAATAAGTATCTGCCTTTTTTTAACCACTGCATCTCATTCATGTGAATGTACACAATAAACCATTTCCCAACTTGCCTCTCTAGAGATAAAAATAAATATTTCCAAAACAAAAGAAAAAGTAGACACCCACAAGTAAGGCAATCTATGAGGTTCAGTGTTGAAATCAGGATGTATCTGCCAAGTTAAAGTTTCTATATGATGTTCTTTCAAACTGGTGGTCACTGGTAAAATTAATTGCAAGGATCTTAGGATAAGGCAAGACAAGTTCTGGGCAGCCTAATAGACATAACAGTGAGAGAGAACACTGCCCATCTGCATCTTGGGCTTTACTTAATGGATGCCCCAGTAGCTTCACAGTAAATGAGTAGGTGGAATGGCAATCCTGTTTAATCCAAAACCTGATTATATTATTATAGGAGGAAGAACTGCCAGAGCTGGATGAGAGAGTGAATTTTGATGCATTTCAAGAAAGAGTTAAAGGATATTGGAAGGATGAGTGGAAAAAGGCATGCAGTGATTTTGATAGGTATGCTATGAAACCTGGCCAAGATGTCAAGATTTTCCCTCACTCATCTGTATACCATATTGTAAATTCTGGCAGAAAAGTGGATCCCAGTTTTCTGTTTAAGCAAGCAAAATGTGTGTGTGTGTGTTTGTGTCTTAATGGGGTATGGACCTCACACGTGTTGTTTTTCTGTCCTGACTTATCCTCTTCCACCCCATGTTCTGCTAAAATGTTAAGAATTGGGCAAAACAAGTAGAATGGAAATAGAATAACTTTTGCAAAGGAGCAGAATATGTGTTAACTAAAGCACCCCAATACACTTTTACTTCAAAGTGGGGCTTTTTTTGGAGTTAATTTTATTGGATTGAGCAACTTAACATGCTAAATGATGATAAACATTTAACATAAATGTTACAAGGACTGGAGTCTGTGAATACAATTCAGTTCATCTGTTTCTAGTATTCTTTTGTAATTCCCTTGTTCAAGGATGATGATCTATAAATCCCTTACTGTATGTCCAGGAAAGTTGAGATGGTATACCTCAAGTTGTATATTCCTAGCTGAGACCATTCAAACATATCACCAGCTTACTATAACCAATTTTGGAGAATAACACGGCCCCCTCATAAGTTATGGGAGGCAAGCCTTTATTATTCTGCAGAGAAATCTTTAATAACTTTACTTACAGGATACATAACATGAATGGTAATACATGGACAAGACTTCATCCCCACATTTACATTGAGTTTGTGTTGGGTAAAGACATCCAGTTCATGCCATGGATGCTAAACTGAATCCAATCTGGAGCATGAATATTCAGAGAAAGATAAACTTTAATTTAGTGGTTGTTCTTAATATAGCTATTTTTATTCACTGTTTCTCATTCATGTCAATTTAGATAATAAAAACCTCTTCCTTACTTGCCTACTGAAGAGATAAAAACATGTCAAAACAGAAAAAAAATTGTCACCTACAAGTAATGCAAATCAATAAGGTTCAATAATTAAACAAAAGACCATATGCCTGTACCAAGTTAAAGGATGCCTACACTGTAGAATGAAAGCAGCTTTGAAATAGAACAATTTAAAATGGCCGTGGATGGTGAGATCCGAGCTGCGGATAGAGAAACCTGAAGTGCGGATACTGGATCCCAATACGTGGTTACCAGTAACAGTGACAGGCCGCCCTGTAGGTCTGTGTACCTGGCAAGATGAAGAAGCCCAATATTCCCAAATAAATCTCACCAAGTTTAAGAATAAGCCACCACGGGAGTTTATTAAGGCAGCTGAAGTGATGCCAGCCCGTGATTATCCTCCAAAGTAAGCTGAGATGCCATAACAGTGAAAAAAATAAACATTTTTGTACAGTACCGTTCTTTGAAATTCCTGCTTCCGCCCCAACTGGTGCTGACTCCACCGTGATTGGCTGAGTCCTGTTGACGTTATGACCAGCTGGTCGGGGATTCCCTGAGAGGCGAGACTGTGGCCCCTCCCAGCCAATAGTAGAGCGTTCCCTGCTCCCAATGCAGATTTATGTTCCCAATAGGTTGAAGAGTGGCAGGATGGAAACTTTAGACAAAGAAAACATAGTTTTGTGTTTGGATTACATTGTCCCAACTCCAGGACAAAGAAAGCAGGGGCAACAGGTCCTATGAGTTCTATTATGATGGTTGTTTTTTTGGAGCCCCAACTAAGTGAGTCTGGTGACTGCACCAGTGTCCATTGTATTACAAAGCAGCATATTGTCCATGATGATAGGATTATAAATTGGTTCCTGAGAAAAGGGGAAATGGCAATGTGGAAAGCAGAGCAAGTAATCCCAACATCAGGGAAGAAAATGCCAGGTGATAAATGTATTTTCATATGTCCATGTGGCTGCACAAAGAACAGGTGGTCCAATTCTGAAGCCTGTTGGTTGCTCAGCCAGTGGTATGGGCCACAGATGATGGGTGATTTGAGTCCTTTGTAAGTAGAGGATGACCAGGAAAACTGCTGGAAGGGACTCCCAGTTGAGAGGTGCTGACAAAAAGTCATCAAGATTGTGCTGAGTGGCTTCATTCTCCAAAGTTTTATATCAAGACATAAAATATGAAATATTAAAAACATACACAAGGGGCCCACAGATACCAAGGGAACCTGAGGACTCCAGAGGCCCAGTATCCATGGGGGCGGGGGGGGGGGGCATGTATACAAGGGATCCATAGATACTGAGTGGGACCCAATTACTCTGGGGACCCATGGGGGTGGGAGGTTGGTGAAGGGAGCTCGGGGAGATGAGAAGGTTGATGTGGGTGAAAGGAAGAGAATCACCCCCAATCCCAGGGCCATGTGGCCCAGGCGGGCCCCAGCCGGCTGAGGAAGGTGGAAGTGAGAGGAAAGGACACAAAGAGGCAAAAAGAGATACAAGGAAGCAAAAGTTAAGGATAACCATGTTTATTTAGAAACCATGTAACTACTGAAAGGGGAGGATTGCTGCAGGAAATTTATCAAAAGTATCCCAGGTGGTGGTAGCCGCTGCAGGGCTTGACACCACTTTAACAGCCATGACTCAATGCTATGGAGCCCTGGGAGTTGTGGTTTAGCGAGGCACCAGCACTCTTTGGCAGAGAAGGCTAAAGGTCTTGTGAAACTACAACTCCCATGACTCTACAGTTTGGCAATTAAAGAGGTGCCAAATTGCAATAATAATACAGTGTAGATCAGGTTTGGGCAAACTTGAACCCTTCAGGGGTTTTGGACTCCAACTCCTACCATTCCTAACAGCCTCAGGCCCCTTCGCTTAAGCGGCTGAGGGGGAAAAGGAAGGGGCCTGAGGCTGTTAGGAATGGTGGGAGTTGGAGTCCAAAACAACCAGACAGCCCAAGTTTGCCCAAGCCTGGTGTAAGTGCACCCAAGGTCTGGAGGCGCCTTCCATGCGCCCAGTCCAAAGAGCATCCCCTTCAGCCCCCTCCCTCTCGTCTCCTGGGTCTACTTTCGCTTTCCCATTCGCCCCAGGCAGGGCTTGTCTTTCTCCTTGGCGGCACTCTGTGAGGTAATTCTCCTTATTCCTCCCTTTTCCCTGGGACCCCTCTCCAAGGCGATGGCTTGGCACCCCCAGCACCCGAGGCCCCTGCTGAGGGTTTTCTTTTAGAGGGACAGAGGGAACTAGCGGTGCCTCCTACAGCCTGACCTTTCTGGTAGGGTGGGGGTGGCTTCCCAGGTACAAAGGTGCCGAGGGGTGGGCTTCCTTGGGTCAGAAACAAGGATACAGGCTGGACATCTTTTATCTGGAATTCCAAAATGGTCCCCATGGGAGGCTGACAGCGTGGCACCCATGCATTTTCATCGTTCAGTTGGGTGCATCTACACAGTCAAATTAATGCAGTTTGATACCAGTTCAATCACAATGCCTCAATGCTGTGGAATCCTGGGAGTTGTAGTTTTACAAGGTCTTTAGCCTTCTCTGCCAGAGAGGGCTGGTGCCTTACCACACTACAAATCCCAGGATTCCATAGCATTGTGTCAATGACAAATAACCACGATTAATGCATTGTTGACAGCTTTCGTGGCTGGAATCACTGACTTTTTGTGAGTTTACTGGGCTGTCTGGCCATGTTCCAGAAGCATTATCTCCTGACATTTTGCCCATATCTATGGCAGGCATCCTCAGAGGTTGAGGGGTCTGTTGGAAGCTGCAAGGCCATTCAATGCTTTTTTTGTTGTTGTTGTGTCAGGAGTGACTTGAGAAACTGCAAGTCGCTTCTGGTGTGAGAGAATTGGCCGTCTGCAAGGACGTTGCCCAAGGGACGCCCGGATGTTTTGATGTTTTTACCATCCTTGTGGGAGGCTTCTCTCATGTCCCTGCATGAGGAGCTGGAGCTGATAGAGGGAGCTCATCTGCGCTCTCCCCGGATTCGAACCTGTGACCAGTCGGTCTTCAGTCCTGCCGGCACAAGGGTTTAACCCATTACGCCACCGGGGGCTCCTCATTGAATGCTAATCAAGGTGGCCAAGTGCAACATTCACTCTTGCCTCAAGCAGACAAGAGTTCTTTCTCCCATCCTGGACATTCCCCCGCTTGCCTAGCTTCCAACAGACCTCACAACCTCAGAGAATGTCTGCGATAGATGTGGGCAAAACTTCAGGAGAGAATGCTTCTGGAGCATGGCCATACAGCCTGGAAAACTCACAGCACCCCAACCACTGATTAAATTTTGCCAAGAAAACCCCATTATATGTTTGTCTTAGGGCCCTTCCAAACAGGCTCTATATCCCAGGATCTGACCCCAGGTTTTCTGTATATCCCAAATTATCTGACAGTGGGGACTCATATAATCTGGGGCCCTTCCTTACAGCCCTATATCCCAGAATATCAAGGCAGAAAATCCCACAATATCTGCTTTGAAATTGGTTATCTGAGTCTTTACTGATATATATTCCAGTTCAAAGCTGATAATGTGGGATTTTATTAAGTGGTGTGGAAGGGATCCCAGTCTAAAGCAGAAAACCTGCAATTTGATTTTGGGATATAGGGACTGTCTGGAAGGTCCCTTAGGGTCACCGTAAGTCATAAATAACTTGAAGGTACACGGCAATAACAATAGCTTACAGAAAGGAGGAACAGACATTCTAAATAGCAATTTGTTGTCCTTAATATTAACTAATCTGTTTATAACCATATAAAAATGTCTGCAACAGCACTGGGAGCATGAACAACTAAAAAGTAATATGGTAATTTATTAAAAGGTTGAAAAAAAATGATCTCACGTTTAAAGCCAAAGGACAAGAATGGGATTTGAAATGGATATGTTCAGTAACTTTCCCAGCTTCCCTTGCTGCATCCTGACTTGATACTTCCACAGAATGTACCTTCTTCAGCAATTGCTCCTAGGCGTTCCTTGTTTTTGCAGTCTGATCATGGTGACCTTGTTAGGTAGTATGAAATATGAAACTGAAATATCAGCCCCATCACATTTCCTGCTGGAGCTGGAATGAGCCCTGAAACTGAGCAGGAAGGCAAACACAACAAACAATAACTTTGGTCAAAGGATGACCAAAACCCAGCACTACTTTCGGTTTTGCTCACTGCAGGGTTCGAGATAAAGTTTGTTCCAAGCTTCAGTAGTTTGTAGAACTTCAGAGTTATGCAAACAAAGGCAAAGTGCACATATATGTGTACCTAATTCAACTCTTGGATTCTCTTGACTACAGTGTACATTCTCCTTATTCCTTTTTCCCTGGGACCCCCAGCACCCCCTTCTCCAAGGCGATGGCTTCGCACCCCCAGCACCCGAAGCTTTGCTCCTTCTTCTCACTGACTGCAGAAGTATTCATTCAGCATCACTTCATGTCTCCCAGAAGAAGGAGATAATATTCCTTATCTACCAAAATTAAGTTGCATAATAGATTTTAATGCGTTTGTTTATTTATCAATATGGCAGCCTTCAGGAAGAGCCTAAAAACTTGTCTGTTCCAGTGTGCCTTCAAGGATTGAACAAGTCCCTTACATAATGTCTTTCGATGCAGTTTATCTCATCCTTCAGTTAATTTAATCCCATTGTTTGTCCCATCCGAACTTCCCATCAGATATATACCTAGTCATCCATCTCACCCAGGGTTTTAAAATCCTGTCAGTTTATTTGACCCTGTCCACTTGGCTCAATGTTTGTTATTTATGTTATATTCTGTGTTTATTTTGTATTATCCTTTTGATTTATTTTATGGTATTTTTATTTGATATATTATCTTACATTTTTCTGTTGTATTCTTTCGCTCTATTGTAATTAGTTGGGCTTGGCCTCATGTTAGCCGCCCCACGTCCCCCTTGGGGAGATGGAGGCGGGGTATAAATAAAGGGGTTTATTATTATTATTATTATTATTATTATTATTATTATTATTATTATTTCTATATGCAGCATTGAATTGTTGCCTTTGTAAGAACATCCAGAATCCCCTTTGGGGTGAGAAGGGCGGGCTTCAAGTGAGATAAATAAATAAATAAACACCGTCAACCATTTTATTTTCAATCCTGAGCTTTTAAAAAACAAATACCATACCTGAAAATAAACATGCATTACAGGTGGTGCAATGGGTTAAACCCTTGTGCCGGCAGGACTGCTGACTGAAAGGTCAACAGTTCGAATCGGGGAACAGGGTGAGCTCTTGTCTGTCAGCTCCAGCTTCTCATGCAGGGACATGAAAGAAGCCTCCGATGGGATGGTAAAACAACTGGACATCCCCTGGGCAATTTCCTTGCAGATGGCCAATTCTCTCACACCAAGAAGTGATTTACAGTTTTTCAAGTCCCTCCTGACATGAAAAAAAAATTACAGTAGCTATCAATTTAGTAAGTAAAAACGTTCAGCCCTTTTATGACACCCCTCAATTCTTTTGCTTTAGGTTTCTTTCAACCTAATGATAGAAGGACATCTTTGTATCACATTGTCCTCAATGCAAGAGATGTGTCTTCTGCGATACTGGTCATGCTGAATGGTATCTTCTTGATGCTGATATCTGTATTGTTTCTTCTGGCACTGAGAATCGTTCTCTTTTGCAGCCTGTTACTCAGCAATGGAGACTGGAACAGGGATGCTTCAGGATTTGCTTCTAGATGCTTTAGAAGACCTTGGAGAAGAAGATTTAAAAAGATTTAAATTTAAGCTCCATACCACAACAGCTCCTGGGGATAAGAACATTCCTCTTGGACGACTGGAAAAAGCAGATCGGGAAAATCTGGTTGGACTTCTGGTTGAGTTTTATGAAGACAAGGCTGCTGTCCTGGTGGTGTCTGTTTTTGAAGACATGGGTCTCAAGTATAATGCTTCCAAGCTCAGCAAGGGTATAAATTTACTTTTTTAAAAATGTAAGCTTTATAGTATTAACTACTGCATGTACTCATGCATAAGCCTGGCATTTAATTTAAAAATGGAGCCCCAAAACCTGGGTTGACTTTTCCACAGGCCAATGTAAGTACTACACCTTAACTCATCAGAAAAGGAACCATCCTCTTCTCGTGAGTGGAGGGGCAAAAGGCAAGAGTTTAGTCTGTCCTGGGAAAACCTAAAAGAAGCACCAATTCTCACTACTCTCTCAAGCAACATTTTGCAGCACCTAGGTGGGAAAAATGGTGGTGGCCAGAGGCGGGTCATCCCTGCGATTTCACTTCTCTGCAGAATGAAGCCAACCCATCCTTATTGATCAGTGGTTCTCAACATGTAGGTCCCCAGATGTTTTGGCCTACAACACCCAGAAATCCCAGCCACTTTTCCAACTGTTAGGATTTCTGGGAGTTGAAGGCCAAAGCATCTGGGGACCCACATGTTGAGAAATACTGTTATAGATAGTAGTGAGGAATGTTGAGGTTTGTAACTCAACATCTGAAAAGCTGGGCAATTCCCATCACTACAGTAAAGTGTATGAATTGTATTTGTTCTAGGGCGCTCATATAATCATAGGCAATCACTCATGCTATTTCCATGGGTAGAGTCTTGGCAGAGGGTCCCTTAGTAACTGTGTTCTGTATCCGCATGGTCTTTTGCATTGAGGACATAGATTTCCAGATGGAATGTGGCCCCGACAAGGGTTTGCTTGACACATCTCCCTCTTGGTGCACTTCTCCCTTTTGCCTCCCTTTGTGCCTCTTCAAAATCCACAGCACTGTTGGTAACAGCTGACCTCCAGTTACAAAGCTCAAGGGCCAAAGCTTCACAGTTCTTGATGTTTCTGCCACATTTTTAGGTTAAGCTCATCCTTAAATCTCTTTTGATGTCCACCAACATTCCATTTTCTACTCTTGAGATGAGAATAAAGTAACTGCTTTGGGAGAAGGTGATCAGGCAGTAGGACAACACGGCTGCTCCAGAGAAGTTGATGGTGGAGATGCCCACCAACATTCCATTTTCCATTCTTCTCACTTTAGTGCTGGTGGTCTTTGCTTTTTCCAGAATGCTAATGGCTTCCCAAGATATTTGCAGGATTTTTCGGAGGCAACTCTGATGGAATCTTTCCAGAAGTTGAGAGCGATACTTGTATACAGGAAGAACAATTGAACTGGAAGGGCAATAGTTTTATAAACAAGCATATTTGTATCCATACAATGGCAGTAGGGCTTTTATAGTTGAGAATCTATCATTTGCAGTAGCCTAACCGATGGTTTTGTATCTTTTTCAGCGATTGGGAAGCGACTGGAAGGTATGTGAATGCATCTTCATAAGTCATTATAATTAGTTTTCCAGTGAAGATGTGAATATTTTGTCACAGCTGGTGGGAAACAGAAAAGAGAGTTGAACCTTGGCTATATCTGATAATGTCCTTAGTTCACACAATGAAGTTTCTCTTCATTTTCTCCTCTGTGTTCATCTAAACCTGCTCCAGCAGTTCATGTGCTGGAACCCTGTTTCTGTGCAGGTATCCACAATTCCATTTATCCATATCCAAAAAAGCCCCCCTAAAAACCCTCCTTTCTGGGCATTTTGTAGATTTTCCAGTATAACTCTGTGGTATTCTTGGTCTGGAAGTCCTTCATTTGTTAATCCATGATTATATGTGGATTTGTGTATATTTTGTGGATATGGGGGTCATATTGTATTTGGAAAAGAAAACCAAAGCTGGCAACACAGACAGACTTATGGAGAGAATCAGATAAACATGGGCACAAGAAGATGTAATTATATCAGTCCCTGGTTTAGTACTAGTCTATCATGCCAGTTTAAAATTCAAGGGAGTGGTTACAGAGGGTCTTGGCGTTAGAGGAGGCTGTATCCCCTAATGTCCATGCAGACCAGCAGATTGTAGAAACAAGTCCAAGTTTAAGGTTTTCCTCATATCTCTGGACAGTTCAGAAAGAGTTCAGGCAAACATAGTGTCTCCATCAGATAATTGCAAATGATCCTCAAGATCATCTACCTTGATGATCTTGAGGAAGAGAATAGATTTTAGGTTAAAGCAACATGTGATCAAGGCAGTTGAAGGAAGAATTCCTGGGAGAGATAGAGAATTATTTTTATTTTAGTTATTTAATGCATACACTACCATTTTGTTGAAAAATGCACTTAAGGGTGATAATAAATACAGACAAAAATGTAAACCTTGAGTAAAACATAAAAATAAATAAATTAAAAACAGCATAAAAAACATAGCCAGCAGCCAACTAGTTGAAACAGCAGTCTAGCTTAGTTACTAAAATGCTGCCTGAATCAACATGTTTCTTTATCTTCGGTCTGAAGGACCACAGAAAGGGGGCACTCTTAACCTCCATTGTCAAAAGCGCTCTAGTTTCATATTACCAAAGTAACCATCTTGGGTGACGGACCCTTCTTTTTGTTGTATGGCACTGTACTAGGTTATAAAAAGAAATATGCTGAGACTGTCATGGAAGAATATCAACTGACAGAAGACCAAAACAGTCTGTTTGGTGAGAGCACCCCTTTGAAGGAACGCTATATAGAACTGCTTATCATCCAGAAGCATCGGCCTCAAAAGCATAGGGAACATGAACTGTCTGCCACTGGCAGATTGCACATGGAGTTGTGGAAGAGCAACAGGTCTGAGTATTCGCCAACTGACATTGAAAGCCTCTTTGAACCAGATAGTTCCGGAAGAACCTCAAGAACTGTTGTGCTGCAAGGACCTGCAGGGATTGGTAAAACAATGACGGTGCAGAAGATCATGCTGGACTGGTCTTCTGGGGATCTCTATCCAGATGTTTTTGACTATGTGTTCTGCTTCCATTGTAGGGAATTGAGGTTCAGGGAAGAGCCTCACAGCCTGGCTGACCTTCTTGTAGAGCAGTGCCAGGACATGTATGCCCCAGTGAAAAAAATCTTAGCTCACCCAGAGAAGCTACTCTTTATTATTGATGGCTTTGATGAGCTTCGTTGCTTTCAGGAGCCTGGAGGAGACCATTGCTGTGACGACCCTTATTCAAAGGTGTCTGTGGAAATTGTTCTGAGCAGCTTGCTGAGGAAGACCCTCCTGCCAAAATCCTACCTATTGATCACCACAAGGCCTGGTGCTGCAGAAAGATTGCGGGAGTGCTTGAAGTTTCCCAGGTTTGCTGAGATCCTGGGATTTTCAGAAAAGGGACGCCGCGAATACTTTTTAAAGTTTTTTGAAGATGAGCGGAAAGCACACATAGCTCTGAGATTCATTGAAAATACCATTGCAGTGTCCACCATCTGCTTCATCCCAATGGTGTGTTGGATCATATGTTCTGTCATTAAAGTTGAACTGGAAACTGAGGATGAGATTGCGGACACCTTGGACACCACGACAAAGGTCTTTATGCAGTTTTCTCATGCTCTCCTTAAGCATGATCCCAAAACACGGATGATCCCTGCTCTGAAGGAGTTCAGAAAACTCTGTTCCCTAGCAAGAGATGGCATCCTGGAGCAGAAAATCCTTTTTGAGGAGCAAGATATCAAGAAACATGATCTGGATGCTTCTTCTCTGAAAGACCTATTTCTAGACAGAAGAACATTCCACAAAGGGATTGGACGGCACACCCTCTACAGTTTCCTGCACCTTTGCTTTCAGGAATTTTTTGCAGCGATGTGGTATATTCTGCAAGAGGAGTCAACAGAAGAGCTAGACAACAATAAGCTGGACCTGAAGAGACTTCTAGTTGAGTGTGAGAAGCCAGGCAATGAGCATTTAACGTTCACTGTGCACTTTATCTTTGGCTTAAGCAGCAGAAACGTGTGCACCTTCCTGGAGCAGATGCTGGAGTGCAAGACTTCATCGGACCTTGTAAAGCCTCTCTTACTGCAGAGAGCAGAAGAAGTGGCAACTGAAAATCCTCCACGAAAAGGCCATCACCTACTGAAGTTTTTCCACTGTCTGTTTGAGATCCAGGAAGCTGAATTTGCAAGGCGTGTGATGAAGCATTTCCAGACGATTAACCTCTCTTTCAATACACTCTCAGTGTTGGATTGCCGGGTCCTGGCTTTCTGCTTGCAGCACAGTGAAATTACGGACCACTCCATTGAATTAACCTATTGCAGGTTGACCTCTCATCACATGAAGGCTTTGGCCTCAGGAATAAAGAACTGCTCCACATTAGAGTAAGTGACTCCATCCTTTTATGTTCTATGAATTACACATGCTTGGGCATTTCAGGATTCAGGTAATGAGCCTGTGCGTTGGACTCTGGTGCCTTTGTTATTTATGTTGTTGCATGGAGAGAATCGCTGCTTAAAGCCAAGCTCCTCCTGAACTCAGGAGATGTATGACCCAGAAACCAAACTTATTTAGTTCCTAGATCTGGTGCAATCTCCCAATCTGCATGACTTTCTGTTGGAAATGCCCAATAGAATGTCTGGTAACTTAGTTTGATCAACTTTGAGATATAATCTAATTAAAATATGCTCAATGGGCAATCTTCTGATCTCAGTTACAGATAAGAATATAAAAGTTGTAATCCTCACCTAATGGGGAACAGATTAGATTGAAATTTACCAGTCTACCCATTATTGTTTCTTTTGATCTCCAAAATTTAAAATCGATTGCCTCTAATGTAAGAATTTTAATTGCTTAGGCAATTGAGGTTTTTACAATATGCGGAACTTCTCATGCGTGGTAATAATTACTCATCAGTGTGCTGTGATGAAGCCAAAGTAATATAAATCATTATAAAGTTTAATGTATTGTTGAAGGCTTTCATGGCTGGAATCACTGGCTTGTTGTAGGTTTTTTAGGCTATATGGCCATGTTCTAGAAGCATTCTCTCCTGACATTTCATCTGCATGAAGCCTCACAACCTCTGAGGATGCTTGCCATAGATGCAGGTGAAACATCAGGAGAGAATGCTTCTAGAACATGGCCATATAGCCCGAAAAACCTACAACAACCCATTATAAAGTTTGTTGGAGTATCTGAGATGCACAGTAGATCTATAAGCATCTAGAGGCTAATGGCAATGTGACAAAGGTTAGGCTTTTTATTTCTATTAATTTTACCTCCATACAGCCATTTTCTTATGCTTAAGCTTTAAACAATCCATTGTCCCTTGTTTTGAAGCACTTCACCATCCCTATTAACTAGAAACACACTTTCTGATATTAAGGACAATGCATTCATCATTAGGTTTTTTCACTGTGTGTCATGTTATCAACAATGAAGATTGCATCTTCTTGTATGTTTTTTCTCATTCTGAAAGAGTGGACTTTGTTTTTGTTTTTCCTTCCCTTGTGCAGATTTGGAAGCAACAGACTTGGAAACTCAGGAGTGAAAGTTCTGTGTGCCATTCTGAAGGAAACAGGCTGTAATGTGACTACTTTAGAGTAAGTAATACAGAAGTAAAAATCAACATACAGTAAAAATGAATACCCATGGGAAATATGCTCCCAGTCAAGCTGCAGTTATGTAAATGCCATTAAATTGATTCAATTCTGCTTCCAGCATAGCATAAATTTGCATTGGAGGACCTAGAGGTTGCTGGAAAAGCATCATCTCTAGGAACTTGCTAGGTGATTTGGGGGTCTTACTGTTACCAGAAGTTATGGGAATGTTAAGTACATCTGCCATCTTTGAAAACCCAGATTATTGGGTGTTCAGTTATTGATTGACAGATTATCCTGTGTCATGTTCTTAGTGACCTGTGGGACAAATCTAAAAGGGTAAGGTGGCAGCTAGAATAGAACTAACACTAGTAGGTACCAGTTAATAGAAATAAGTAGCTGGACACTGGTGTTGAGAGCAAAAGGCAGACATCAAGGGGAGCAAGGGCTGGCAGCAGGATGACAAGGACCAGAAATTGCTCCCCAGGCAGTAAACGAATGGCTTCAAGCTCAGCAGACACTTTATACCATGTGTACAGGTCTTGACGCAGGTGAGGGCCTGCCCCTCCATTAATGGAAGGTGGGCATAATGTTTACACACCACCACTATCTTTGATCTTGTACAACAGCTATGCAAGGTGTCAGATGTTTACCAGCTGTTAGGATTTCTGGGAGTTGAAGGCCAAAACATCTGGGATTCCACAGGTTGAGAACCACTGATCCAGAATTTATACAGGTGACACCACTTTAATGGCCACAGCTCAGTGCTATGGAATCATGGGAGTTGTAAAAGTGATGTATTCATTCTATGTGTAGATGCATTAGTAATCTGTTCAGTTACATGATAACACAGTTATGGAAACACTCACAAAGGAAATGTTAAGCAAGATTTTTTTGTTTTTTCTTTGTCTCAGCTCATCAAGCAGATTCTGGCTAGCAAAGTCCCATGTTCTTTTTTGAGTACTATAGCAGTAGGGAGTCTTGGGATCTATGCATCAGTAGATAAGAATCCATGTTTAGTTAGACATATTATACATTTATATTTATTTTCTATAGTTTGACCGGTGGTGTTGTAGAGGATGTGTTTGAGTTTATTATGTTGTGAGCATATGCTTGGAGATCTAGTTCCATAAGCATGCATGATATTTGTTTAAATTTAGATTAAAGCTTAATTTCTTCTAGCTGCTTAGTCTACCCATCTGCTTGACTCTTTCGGAAATGCATCTAGAGACCCCAGCTGATTGAAGAAGGAAGCCCAAAAGTTTGGCTATTTACTTTATATCCCGAGGGGGCATGAGTGTGATAGTAGATGTCATAGTAGGGTTTTTTTCCAGCTGTATAGTGCTTTTGATTCTCTACTTGCTATAGCACTCAAGAATCAATAATAATGATTGGAGGCCTGCATGTAAAAGTACTTCAATTTTTACATTGACAGTCTTGATGAGAATTTCCTCACAGACGCTTGCATCCAAGAACTTTGTGATGTGCTGAGCACAAGCCACACGCTCGAAACTCTAAGTCTCCAAGAAAACTCCTTCACAGAAGTATCTGTGCCCTTTATCCAACGCCTCTTAGAGACTTGCACCAGCCTAATTTTTTTACGGTGAGTTTTAGGAAGACTAGGAAAGTGTCTTCCTTTATTATATTTTATTTTATTCGCTTAGGATGACAGAAATGGAAAAGGGATAAAAGTATGCTTTCTTTGAGATAATCCAACTTTATAGCTTGTATAATAATGGAACACAGACTGGAAGATGTGACAAAAAATTCCCTGACAAATGGCCACCCAGCCTTTGCTCAAATATTCCCAACCAAAGAAAGCCTACTATCATCCAAGCTAGTCTGTTTCATTGCTGGATAACTGGAAACTTGGGTTTTTGTTTTTGTTTTTTTCAATGCTCACCCATTGGTTTTAGTTGTGTCCTATTCATCACTGGAAAGCAGATTTGCTGCATCGTGTCCTCTTTTATCTACTTTCCCCCAGGTTAAATATACCATTCACATCATAAAATTTAGTTTCCAGATTACCCCATTAAAAGAAAATATAAGCGTAATAAAACACATACAGACTTCACATATCATTTTCCGGACACCTAGAGAAATTAACCAGAAGAGACATTGCTATTAAGCATCCAGATAGATGTAAGCATATTCCAAAAGTCATGAAGCCGAAAGTAAATTAATAAATATGTTAATTCAGATGGAGTGCTGTAAACTACTTCTGTGGCTATACAAGACAATAGAACAAAGGCTGATGTTACAAGTTCCATATTATCCCATATGAACTTGTCCGTGTTTTGAGATCTTCTGAGGAGGCCCTTCTCTCTGTTCCACCACTTTTGCAGATCCACCCATTGGGAACACAGGAGAGGGCCTTCCCAGTGAATGTCCAGGAGCTCTCCTCCCAGAGAGGCTAGACTGGCAGCCTTCCTGTTATCTTTATTTAGACTCCAGTGGACTCATGCCCAGCCTCTTTGCCAGTGTGTGCTGGATAGAATTGGAAGAGACCATAAACACAATCTAGCTCAACCCCCTTCTATGGAAGAACACAAAGTGTTCCTCACAGATGGCCACTCAGCTTCATTTTTTAAAATTTCCAAAGAAAGGAGACTCCTGCACACTCTGAGGCAGCATATTCCCCTGTTGAACAACTCTTGATTTCGGGAGTTCTTCCTAATGTTTAGGTGGAATGTTTTCCTGTAGTTTGAATCCATGGATGTGTTCCTAATTTTCTGCAGCTGGTCTTCACGGCATTCATGGGGAGGGAGGGAGGGAGGGAGTAAGAATCACTCTCATCCTGATTCTGGTTGATCTAGGCAATTTCATTTGTGCAAAATCTTGATTGTATTTCGTCTTGAAGCTGAATTAGCAGCTCATATCTACATTTTATAGCTGCAGTTCCTGATGCTCATTGGGATCTTTTTTTTTTCCCTTTCCTTCCCTTCCCTTCTAGTTTGAGCAGTAATAGTTTTGGTGAAAAAGGCAGAAAACGCCTGAAGCAGCTAGAAAAAAAGTTAACTCTGTTAGAACGTCGTTTTTTGTTGTGGATGTGATGAGATATTTGCTCCTGTCTACGCTGGATCAAAACCACAACATAGCTTCAAAGCCACAAAAACATAAAGACTAACTTAATGAAAAAGATTGACAGACTGTGTGTCACAACATGTTAGTACGTAGGCTGCAATGTGTAGATGTGTCACATGACTGTAACAAGAGACCTCTGAACCTATATGAAATAAGAAATAATATATTTTAAAATATATAAATACAAAATTATCCTAAGATATGTTGTGTCATCATACATTCCATTATTACAGTTTATGTACATGTCTATATATCTTAATAGAGGTTGGTTTAATCTCTGGTTTGCTAGTAAAACTTCATTTCTGTGTCGTGAAGTGGTGTATGCCTAAAAAGTGTGTCACTAACATGAAATGTTTGGAAAGCTCTGAACTATGGATTTGAGTCTTACATATGCCACTTGCAACATTTTCTTCAGATTTACATAAATGCTATTTATTTATTTATTTATTATTTGCACTTGTTAACCGCCACTCTCAGCCCAAAAAAACTACAATATGCATTATTGTAGTTTTTTTGTATTGGTACTGTGATTTTTGTGTGTAAGTTTATGAAAATTTGTAACCTTAAGCTTGTCTACACCTGCTAAAAGCCTGCAGTGGTCACTACTAGATACCTACATAACATCCATGGACTTCCAGTTCTTAATGCAGGGTAAACCAGGTTAAATTAGTTTCTCCTATTCTAAGGAAAGTAAGTAATTCTCTGGAATTTACTTTAGCCAAAATGTGGCTAGCATGACCAAATCCAATACATACTAGTCCACTATCCACGTGGGCCTCCACCAATCGGATTAAACACATGTTACTTTTGTTCCTGCCCAATAGCATGTAGACATCTCTGGACTGGCATCAAAATAAGTGGTCAGTGCAGACAAGCCCCATATTAAGTATCATTTATTTATTTATTTATTTATTTATTTATTTATTTATTTATTGTGTCAAGCGAATTGAGAATACAATTATAATATATAGAAACCAAGAGTTAAAAACTGGTGACACCATGCTAAATTTCCTTTGACCAGAATCTGGCCACTTGAAGTGCCTCTGATGTTGCTATAAGAAGGTCCTCCATTGTGCATTGTGGCGGGACTCGGACTCCATTGTAATAAGTGGTCTGTGGTTTGCTCTTCTCCACACTCGCATGTCGTGGGCTCCACTTTGTAGCCCCATTTCTGAAGATTAGCTCTTCATCTTGTGGTGCCAGAGCACGGTCTTAGCCTGGTCTCTCGCTTGCTGATGTGTTCCTGCAAGTATCTCTAGATCTTAGGAAGCTATTTCTTAATTTAAGCTGTTGGCATGCTAGCTGATATCCGAATAGAGGATGGGCTGAGATGTCACTGCCAAAGAGCATCTCCACAAAGTAGTCCTATTTTCAAAGTGTGAAAATGACCTTTAAGTAAAAGCAGATGTGACATTTCATATGTTCACTTTGGGATTCCGGTTCTCAGAAACTATTAAGTCATGTTTAAAGGGAAATGAAACATTGAGATGAAATGTACTTATGGAATGTTATGAACATTTTCCTCATGGGACTCATAAACAGCTTGAGATGCTATTTATCATGAGAGTCTGCAACCAAAATATGTGAGTCTTTGTTTTCCACTGAAGCAATCATATTAGGCACACTGTTTCTAATGTAGGAAGAACTACCATCAATTGTTTAGTCTGCCTGAAAAATGAATGAGAAACTTTGTATACACAGGAAATGGCCATTTTTATTTGCTTTATAAGATTCCAGGTTCAGTCTCTCTCCGGTGGAAAAGGTAAATATCAGCCTGAAACCTTGAAGATATGCTAAAAAAGGGACCAGATAGTTGCGGACTAGATGAATCCATGATATCACTCAACCTATAGCTGGTTTACAGCTTTGCACTTTACCTTTTCTTTTTCTTCAGTTTGTGCTTAGTTTCAACGCATTCATAATAATTTAATCAATTGTCTGTCTTGTGATTTCAGTAATAGTGATTGCTCAGAAATAGAAGATAAAGTGCTGATCCCATTCAGTGTGGTGATCATACTCTTAACAACTATCTTATGGTAATCTAATCTCAAACGTGTAAGTTACTCAGCATTTCTTTAAGTGCTAACAGAATATTGAGACTGTTGCATATAAGTTTGTAGCAGCCCTATGTTGATATGATGAGGGTTGGAGGTTGATGGATGGAGTGTGTTAGTATTTGTACTATTACTGCAACTGAAGAAAGAAAAGCCTTCCAGCTGGAACCAACTGCTTTGTATCTCTGCTGTTTTGGTTCCTGTGGAGACCACTTCATTAACAGAAGGTATTTGGCTCCTTAACAAGAGTGAAAAGTCCCTTCCGCTACACAACAGGGAATTTCATGCTGATTTGAAACCCTGACAAGATGCCCATACTGCTCCTACACTTTTTAATGCCAGAATCCACCCTGAATTTTCTACTGTTGTTTACACCTACGGCTGTTCTAGTTCTCAGGCTGATGAACAGCTATAACACTATAGTGACCAGGCAATTGTTCTGAATATATTGAATAACTAGGCGCCCTGCCACGTGTTGGTGTGGCCCAGTCTGTGTATATGTGTTTTGTGTGTGTATATGTGTGTATATATTTGTATATATGTGTATATATGTGATTTTGCGCATGCATTGTAATATTTTTTATTTTTTGGTTTTTAAAGCTTTTTCTGTGTTTTTCAGTGTTTTTATGAATGATGATCACTCACTGGCCTGATAGGTGTATTGTGTCCAAATTTGGTGTCTATTCGCCCAGTGGTTTTTGAGTTACGTTAATCCCACAAGCTAACATTACATTTTTATTTATATAGATAAACACAGTCATTTTACATTCAAATTAAGTTTCTATGTAAACATCATTTGACTCTTTACTGTCCAACACATAAACATTTGTAGTTGCAGTTTGTCTATTTTAAAATAATACCAACTAGTCTTTATGCCACCTGTCAGGGGTGCTTTGAATGCGATTTTCCTTCTTCTAGGCAAGGGATTAGACAGGATGGCCCATGAGGTCTCTTCCAACAATAGGTTGATTTATACATGATTATAGAAAAAACAAACCAAAGACCACCTATTACAATGCAGCCTGAGCCCCGCCACATGCATAATGGAGGACCTCCTTATAGCAACACCAGAGGCACTCCAAGTGGCCAGCTACTGGTCAAAGGACATTTAATAGAATGCCAAATTTTTAAACTCTGTGGTTTTTAAAAAATACATTACAACTGTACCCTTGGTTTGCTTCTGATACGATAAATAAATAGAAAAAACAAACCTAGATTAAATTTAGAAGATTATAAAATGAAAGGAGGTATGAAATAAAGTGAAGTATCTAACTCTGGTTTATAATTTTGTAATCTGGCACAGAGTTCTTGTTGACATGCAGCGCAACAACAACAACAACATCCAATACGTTCTTCTCTGAACTTTCTAAAGAGTTTGTATCCAGAATTTATCACATCCCACTCATTTTCTCTATTCCTTTAAAATCAAGCCCATCTTCCATATGTCTCCAATAAGCATATTTTCTCATATAGTGTTATTGTATTTATTATTTATTTATTACGGTTGCTTATACCCCACCCTTCTCACCCGGGGGGACTCAGGGCGGCTTACACAAACAAGGCACAATTCGATGCCTGTATTACAAAAACATAACATCAAAAACATAACATCAATAACAACAATAATTATAACACTGATAACAATTAGCGTAAACAATCAATATTATTGGCAGGAGTAGCCATAAACCCGTAAAAAACAATTAAAACAATTAAAACAATAAAAGCAATACAAACCTCATTGCAGGTCAGCGTTTGACCGACTCATAGTTAGGTTCTACTTTCCACACATTGTTGGTCCTATCATTCTGGTTCCGTGTCTAATTGTCAGGGTGCCCAAAGGCCTGGTCCCAGAATTGTATGTTCTCCTCTCCCACTAAAATTGCATTGTGTGTAAAAACACCATTCAAGCAGAATTGCTATCTCACCTTCAGAACCACTGCATGATTGCAGCATCTGTTTATGCTAAAAAAACTTTGCAGGATTTTGGACTTCCCACCCACTACCTCTCCCAAGACATTATCCCCCTTTTATTGCTTAGGTCATACACAGAGAGAGAAATGCCCCTTTCCAGCAACAGAAGACACCATGGCACTATAGTTTGCAGAATTAAAGCGTTGTAACGCTATCCTTTCATCCAAATAATTCAATCCCATCAAGGAGTGGGGGCTGTCCAAGAGCCACTGGATCTAACATTTGCCCTTCCATCCCAAAACCCAGTTAACAGAACTTTCCCTGAGCTTTAGAGGAAAGGCCGACTTTTGGCACTAAGCAGCATTGTTTGAGAGCTGCCAATGCCATTCATATTACTGTTTCCACACCCAAAGGATGTCCACTAGACTGCCCTTGGTTGCTCATAATCAGAGTGAAAGTACAATTGAACATTTACAAAGGAAATTATATTGCAACATAAGCAAAAAATAATGTCATTGATTTTTTTCAGTTAGATAAAAGAATAACAACAGAAGAGCAACATCAAGTGGTAAGTTGCAACCGAAGGTGCTATTATCCTGATGCAGTTCCACTTTATCTGCCTTGCATGATGAGGCTCTTATAATTCTGCCAGCTTTCCTCTGTGGATTTGTTTTTAAACTGTTCTGCCCCCTGCTTGATATTAAACGCCATCTTAGTTTAACTGAAACCCATCTTGTTTAAATATCCTCAAGACACTGGATCCAGTCTGAATGTGGAAACTATGCAAAGTCAGCCCTGCTTGGATGGGAGACCAGCAACGAATACCAGGTGCTACAGGCCAGAATTCAGAAGAAAGAACATCTCTGAAGTGTTACTGCCTAAAGAAAAATATGAAAATCCATAGGGTTGCCAGAAGTTGACAAATGACTTCAAGGTGTACACACACACACATACACACCCATTCTCTTTTACATGGCCAGATTCTCTGTTCCTCAGTATTTTAAAAAATCCAAAAACCACATTCTGATACCACCATTTCATTCATACCTAAAGATCCCTTTGCTCCACCTAACTATCCCTGGACATGTAATGAGACAGATAAAGCAATTTTGGGGATTTTGGGTTTAACCTTCCCATCTAGCAACATAATGTTTATTTATTTTCGAGATGCATAGGATTATTATTGGTGGCCCAATAATTGGTATTGTATGTGTTGTATGTTTTAAATTGAAGATTGTCTTTTTTAATTGTTGTAAACCGCAATGAGTCGCCGACTTAGGCTGAGATATTAGCGGTATACAAGTGTATAAATAAATAAATAAATAAATAAATTTTATGATCTCAAAACTGCATTTCCCCATGTCATGGGTACTTACATTCACCATGGTGGCTGACTTCTCTCCAGCATCCTATCTAGACACAAAAGCATGACTGACAAGAGACTAGGTCATCCTGTATAATGCCTAATGTTAGAAACCAACCAAGATTAAAGCACTTTCAAGTTCCACTAACCTCAGGGAGTGAAAAAAGCCATAAGCTTTCAACCCTTTTGAATGGGTCAAAAGACAATAGGGAAAAGAACAACAGAAAGATGATAGGAGTTCACAGTGAGCTTTTTTAATGGAATAATCTCTGCCTTTAAGTTTCTCATTTAGACTGGAGAGAGAAAAAATCCAAGAACTGGGGCAAAGTTTTGGCTAAAATATCGCTTCTAGACAGCTGTTTGGGTCAGAGCGGCTTGAAGTTCTTCCATCTGCATTCTTCAGCCTGGCTCCACTCACCATAGCTAGTTCCAGTTCTCAAAAACATTCTAATTGGTTTCATATTTATTCAGTTTTTGCCTTATATATAGCTAGTAAGAGCCTAAGGGAACTCACATCTGCTAACAGACTGGATGTTTGCTTTCATCATCTAACAAGGTAGGTAGAGGCTCCTTACATATATATGAAGTATTAGCTATTTGTCATGGGAACTCTTAAGGTCCAGTAATAGCATTTAATTCAGAACAAAAAGCAAAGTAGAGTGTAAAGGGCAAAATCTGAGGCAAAAGACTTCAGCTGTTGAGGGAACTAGTCCTTGCTCATACTATATATCAACAACTAAGGTTTTAAGAAACATCCTGTAGGCAGGCTAGTAATATGGTTTGATAATCATATGTCTCTGTTAATGGATGCCTACTGGAAGGAGAGAACTGGGCTCCAATGCAATATATGTCATCCAGTGGGACCTTTTCCCCCTTTGGCTAAGATCAAGTGTAGTATCTGTTCTTATCAGTATAATATCTGATATATTCTCTATTTGAGGATTTTGGGACCTGGAAGATGGAATAGGGGCTTGCTCCATCCCAGGGGTCCTCAAACTTTTTAAACAGACGGCCAGGTCACAGTCCCTCAAACTGTTGGAGGGCCAGATTATAATTTGAAAAAAAAATATGAATGAATGCCTGTGCACAAAACAGTGCAAAAAACCTCTTAAAAACAATACAATAATTAAAATGAAGAACAATTTTAACAAATATAAACTTATTAGTATTTCAATGAGAAGTGTGGGCCTGTTTTGACTGATGAGATAGGATTGTTGTTGTTGTTGTTGTTGTTGTTGTTGTGTGCTTTCAAGTCGTTTCAGACTTAGGTTGACCCTGAGTGAGGGCCAAGTAAATGACCTTGGAGGGCCGTATCCGGCCCCCGGGCCTTAGTTTGAGGACCCCTGCTCCATCCACTCCACACATCAACTTTATATTGCAGTGCCTACTTCGAACTAGGAATTGGGCTCTTGGGCTCCAGAATGAATGACTCAATGCAATGGAAGCCTAGAAGTTGTAGACTGGTCGGACACCAGCATTCTTTGACAGTGAATGATAAAGACCTTATAACTCCCCTGACTCCGTAGCTTTGAGCCATGCCAATTAAAGTGGTGTCAAACTGCATTAATTCTACACTTTTGATGTGCCCCTTAGTGAAACTTTTGTTATGAAGGAGGGAATTAATTACAAGTAATTCATTTGTAGCTGCTACTTCCAAATTCTAGGGAGGAATCTATTGAATATTTTGTGTGCATGTACCTGCCTTCAAGTTACCTGTTGATTTGAGGGCACCTACCCATGCACAACCCCATGAATTTCATAGGGTTTTCTGTTCTACATATGTCTTCTGTAATTGGAAAGTGGCTGTAATGGAGACATTTTCATATTTTAATTCTGAGTGCTTGTTTATTATATAAATCTAACTTTAAATCAATGCAACCAATATCCTTTGATAAACGTGCTCTGCTGGGTAAGTTCAGTGATGTGCTTTTATGTTCTAAAACTTTTCCTGAAACAGGAATAGGCTGGAGGTATGTCTTGTGGAAAGAACAACCCTATTCATGTTTATTCTGAATTGTTCTGCTATGTTCAAGAAGATTTACTATCCCTAGTAAAAGGGTGTAGCATTGTATCCTTTCAACAAGATTCTGTCTGTATAAGTCTCCTTGAATTCAAGGAGACTTACACATACAGAATAATGTTATTTGAATTCAAGGAGACTTGTTCCCAGATCAGTTAGCTTCCATATCTGAAATCAGTAGGGTAAAATTAGGGTTGCCAGCCCCTGAGATGAAAAAAAAAGTGATAATGAGGATGACTTGCAGGAAGAAGCTAGAGTGGTTTCAAATGGTAAAAACAAGAAAGGAGTCTTATAAAATTTGTAGTTCTGAGGCCACATACCAGAAAAAAGTCTTTTAATGTGGGTTTTGGACTAGTTCCTTTCCCAAAGAGTCTTGCTCAGATGCTGAGCCGTTGCCATTTGAATTTCCCACAATCCCATAAGAAGAGGGTTGAGGAAGAGGTGGGAACTGACTCATAAGCAACAGATTGCTCAAATCAGTGTTGCCACCCTCTTGGTGACTGGCGGTTCTGTGTACTTCTAAGTAAACAAACATGGTTAGGCTGCCACTGTTTTAGTAAACAGCATTATTTGGAGCTGGGGATTCTATTTCTGTTCACATTGCTACATTGGATTTTGTTCTAGTGTATATTTTTCTGTGTCTCTTTCCACTTCATGGCAGCACGTGAGCATCTGCAAACAAACAGGTCACCTTCGGAGATGAACAGGGATCTCCTCTCTCCATCCTTCCAAAGATGAATAAAATAATTGTTTATGAACACGAAGACTTCAATGGACTTCGTAAAGAATTCATTTCAGATGCTCCTGACCTACGAAGTGTGGATTTTGGAAAATGTATTTCATCCCTGAAGGTGATTGGGCAACCTTGGCTGGCCTTCCGTGATCCCAACTACCAAGGGCCACCTGCTACGTTTGAGGAAGGGGAGTACAAGCACATCCCCTTAAATAATCAAATTTCTTCTCTCCGGCTAGTGACTGAAGATTTGGAAAATCCTCAGATCACACTCTATCAGAATAAAAAATATGAAGGGGAGAGCAAAATTATAACAGAGGCAACCAACCTGACTTATGGATATTTCAATAACAAGGCATCTTCCCATATTGTCCAGAGAGGGGCCTGGCTACTCTATGAAAATGCTGATCGAAATGGCTGGTTCTGTATAGCTCGGGAAGGGACAAAAAATCCTGATTATGGTCCAATATTCAATTTCCATGATAAGTGTTCCTACGTGTATCCCCTTAAAGCCGGACGGCCTGTTATCACCACCAAGATCTTGTGGGATCACAAGAAGGTAGAAAGCGAGGGTGAAGTGGTGATTGATGAATTTAGTGGCATTAATGCCACAGATTATGAGCAAACATTCACCACCAGCAACAGCAGGGTCTATGAAGCAGCCACGAGCCACAGTTTTAAATTTTTGGTGCCCGACTTGCACATAGATGAGAAGTTCAACATAACCATAGATCCAAGCACAACCATCACTGTAGAGAAAGGAAAACCAGAGTCTACTTTCACTGTAGACAAAGTTGAGGTTACAGTGCCGGTCAAGATCCCACCACATTCAGAACTGAATGTCCAGGTGATGAGGAAGCTAGTCACCGCCTCCGCTCCTGTGGAAGTGAGCATTACCAGGAATGGGAAGAGAAAGACAGAGATTGGAGAGTATCGAAGTGTGTCAGGACGTAGCATCAGTACCAAGTATGCTGTTAAGCCAATTGAGATGAAAAAACAAACATAGACTCAACATGCAGTAACAGCCATCATATTCACAGAAGATACAATTCGTTTTTTAGCTAAAAAAGGAAATACACTCCTGGCTGGACTGAATGTTGTTTAATTACATGATTTACAGTCCCAGCATATTATACAGTTGCATTGGAGGACCTAGAGATTCCTTCAGAAATTTTCTAGATCCTCCAATACAACTCTGTTGTAACTTCAGGACCATAGAATTGCCTGGAAGACCAAGTAAATCCCTAGAAGAACCATTTCCCCCTAGGTGCAAGTAAGTGAAATAGCAAATATGAGTTACAGCATTATAGGGTCTTGCTGTACTGTCATGTCAGTCTTTCATCTTTGTTAATAATAATAATAATAATAATAATAATAATAATAATAATAATACTTTATTTATACCCCGCTACCATCTCCCCATGGGACTTGATGCGGCTTACATGAGACCGAGCCCAAATACAACAATACAAGCAATAATAACAACAATACAAGCAATTAAAATCAAACATAGACAATAAAACAATAACGTAAGCATTAACAATAAGACAACACACTACAAACTACTGTTTGTAGTTGAGCATTCAAAATTGTTACCATACTAATACCAAAGTGCATTTATCTACATTTAATCCATGATCCCCAGATATATACTCTACTCTGAACTTGTGAAAGTTTTATCTCTTGAAATGTGTCAATTGTAAATATTGGACTCCAGACTTTAGCTTAAATGTGTACTCGCCAATAAAGCAACCAAGAGCCACTTAGGGCCAGATGAAGGCTATGTGTGTCCCCAAGTGGGAATGCCAAGTTTTTCAAACAGCAACATATAGGTACTGCCATATTTGTTGTTGGGACAGTTCACAAATAGCTCATATACATGAGGCAAGCCTATATAAAGTCTTCTTCAAACCTTGTGAGATAAAGTGCTCTCGTGAAAGTTTCAGGCTCCAAAATATTAGAGATTTTCTGGGAGCCTGGAATCTTCTGGGGGAGGAAGGGGGCAGCTATCCTTTTCTGACGCCTGACACATCTATATGGGATTTCTCCATATATGATATGCCTCGATCAGCTGCACCCATAGAACTTAGAAAAGGAATAACAGACCTGAGGTGTGCCCACAACCAATGGACCCACATGGCATTTGGTATGCATTCGAGGTCAATTTGCAGCATACCAAATATTTGCAGGCTGTTCTGCTGTGAGTGTAGCTGATGGATGTTCTTCTTGTTCTCACCAGATCAAAACATATGGGGTTTGGGGTAGCTTTGCCTCAAAGCCATGCAAGATGCAACACAGCTGGCCTCCTAATTCACCCAACAGCTTTGCACACTGGCAGAGAGCCTGCTGAGAGGATATTACAGAAATGCATTCTGGCAAGCACACCTTTACTAGTTTTATATCCCCCCTCTTTATGCTGTTTGAACCTTTTCTGATTAATACAATGGATTGAAAAAAGTACTCTATATGTGAGTATGTCAAATGTCTAAATTTCAGTATTAGCCAAGGGGAGAAATTGGTATCATTTGCATTCTTCTTGTGCCCCAAATTGATCCATAAAAATGAAAGAACACATTCACGGAATTATGAAACTGTATGACTTTATGTATATTTGCTGTGTTTCCAATCCAAGCCTGTTTGCTCTGCTTATTCTGGTACAGAAGAGAAAGAAATCGTAATGTATTACATCCCACCAGGAAAAAAGTCTGTATCACAAGCCATACACTACACAGAGCACCACATACCCTGTAGCCTCCATTTAGCCTACAAAACTGACATTGTCCCAACTATTTATATAAGGAAACCTTTATTAGGATTGTTGGGACATGGAAAGAGGTACCTTCCTTACATCCTGATGAAAACCATCCTTTGGCTGGCATCCTGTTAGTGTCATAGGTAAGCATATGTAATTTTTTGACATTATTACAAGTATTGTATGTATATGTAACTAATCTTCCGCAGTAGAGAATATACACAATCTTGTGTGGTTCTTAAGGTGTCATTCTAAATTGGCTATTCAAATAACAGTTGGCCTCCACATTTATAGATTTAACTTTTGAAGATTTTATTATTTGCTGACTTCATAAATAAGTTATCTCTAGGAATCTCTAGGTCCTCCAGTGCAACTCTGTGGTCAACTTTCACTTCAGCAGTCAGGTTAGAGGACCAAGACATTCCTAGAGAGATGTTCTCTCAGCTTGAAAAAAAAAAGCTTTACACCCACCCACCCCCAACACACACACACACACATTTTCCATTTTTGAAAGGGTCTGTTCACCATAGTCCTGTGAAAGTTAAAAGCTTATGGTATTAATAAGACAGAGAAACAATATTACTAAAGAATTGATATGTGGGTTTTCCACAAGGTCTTGTTCTTATGCCTCTATCTCTTATGAGAGCTAGTGTTACTTGTAAATAATCTTAAATTTGTTTATCCTGAACAGAAAGAAGGAAATAGATGTTGGGGCTGTTGGTGAGTGTGCTAACTGAAAAATGCAAAGCCATGCCTGAGAGGCTAGCTGAGCCTGGGAGTTTTGGCAACAATTACATGTTTAGGTTTTCTGTGCAGGGAGCTTACCAAGTTAGTTTATAATTTCTGCTTCTGGACTGCTGAAAGAAAGCCCTTCACATGGACACCTAAAGATCATTTTAATCTCTCTCAAAAGGACATTGTGTGAGTCAGTGCAACTGTTCACATGACTGTATATGTTTTGTTCTGCATAACATGGAGTAAACACCTTGTTCTTTACTGTTCATCTGCGTGGCATTTCTCTCTCTCTAGCAAGACAGTGTGTGGATTGATAAAGACTTGAACTACATATGATTTTCATTCTACCCCTTGGGCTACCCCTGTACTAGAAGTATAATAGGATAGTGCAATTATTGTCAAAATTATGGATAATGGGTGAGCTTTGATTCAGCATATTTGCTAGAACACAGACCCTCTCCATACAATTAAAACAGAAACAAACAATGTAAACAAGAAGCATCCTATTTTTATTAACCTTACTTGTCTCTTCAGGATGGACTCAAGCACACCATGGCTGTCTATTTTGCTCCCTGAATTTGAAAACCAAGCAGCTCTTGATGGAATTTTTTCCATGAATGAGTGTGCTTTTGGAGCATAACACTATCCCTATCACATCCACAGAGCCAGTGTTCAAACCAGAATGTCATCCGTTTTCTCATTACTCCCTGGCAATGCACTTAAAAAGATTATCGCGTTTAAAGCAATACTTGTTGAACATTCAGAGGGATATGCTTATGAATACACTTGCATAAGATTTCTGCATGGTGGATCAATTTTTCATGGTTATGTTTTTACTCAATCTGGTAATAATTATTTTGGTGTTTCTAACAATGGAAATCAGAAGGTTTGGGATCAAATGTATATTTGTTGTTAGGTGGATGAATGAATATTCCCAGAGACTGTGAAGAACAGTGAAAAACCATTTTTTTCAATGGAAAAGGCAAAAAGGCAATCAAGATATGGGAGGTGGTACATATGGTAAAATTATTGACATGAATAAGACTCCAGAAAAGACAATTGATTTATGGAATACTGAGGTTTTCCTATATATTGTAGTGATCCCAAGCAATATCAATGATGTATAAGCTTTAGAACATAAGTATACAATTTCCCAAAGCCCAGATGTCACACATCAGGTGCCATATGAACAGAGGCTGATTTACACTGCTAAATGGACTTTTGCGCATGCGTTGGGAGTAATTGGACGCTCCGAATACTCCTCTCCCCCAAAAAAGGATTTACAGCTCACCCAAGGGTAAGAAAACAGAATAAAAAGCCATTTTGTTATTCTTAAGTGCAGAGCACCATAAGGTCAAAAAGACTGTTTAGAAAGACAGACCCTGATATTGTAAGAGACGAATCTCTGTCTGACCGGTGCCCTGAGTAGAAAGATGGCGCGGAACCTCCGAGAACTGAGTAAAGAGATTAGTAATTCTCTGGCTGCAATGGAGACAAATATCAGAGGTGATATTAAATCACTTCAGAAAGAAATTAAAGAGATAAAAGCAGAAACTCTGGTGTTAAAAAAACCTGCCCTTGAAGCTCAAAAGAAATCAGAAGAAAACGAAAGTAAAATCAATCAACTTACTCGTCGACTAAGTCAACAAGAAGATAGATTGAGAAGGAGAAACTTGAGACTGTTTGGAATTTCTGAAAGTGTGGAGGCAAAGGACATTGAAAAAAACCTAGTGAGCTGGTTTACAAGCTTAAATATATCAATTAAAGAGACAGACATTGAGCGTGCTCACAGGATTTATAGACCGGGGGCGAGAGCTGGATACCCTAGAGAAATAATTGTGGCTTTTTCTACAGAAAAAATGAAGCAGCAGATTTATACGCTGCTTAAAAAAATTAAGGACCTGAAATATGAAGATAATGTGATTAGAGTGAAACAAGACTTTTCTGCAGAGACTGTCCAAGAAAGGAAAAAAATGGCTCCCTTCACCAATAGACTGTTTGAAAAAAGCATTCCATTCTCCTGGGGTTATCCTGCAACAATTATAATCTTCAAGGACGGGAGGAGATACAAGGCAAGGAACCCGAAAGAAGGCAAAAGGCCTTTGGTGCAGATGGGAATTGCCGAAGGATCAGCCCCCGAAGAACAAAGCAGCGAGGAGGAGGTGGAGGACCCAGAAGAAGGCTCTTCTCAGAGTCTCGAGGGACTTGCTTTGCAAAAAAAAGGAAAAAGGAGCCGGCCAAGTGACTCACAAGACTTACTTAATGAATAAAAAAAATGTTAAATGTGATATAATTTCATAACCTATGTTAAATGATATAGGAGCTGTAAATGTGTATACATTGTTATAGAATGTCTAAGAATGTGGGGGAGGGGAGGGGAATTTTGGAAACGCAAGAGTCAAATGTGCAAGGAGAGACAGGGAGGATTTCTCCCAAATACAAGGTCTCTACCTTATGGGGGAGGGGGAAACCACAAAGGCATAAATAAAATTAATTTCCATGTGCACAAAATGAAACTTGTTCTGAAGGATGATGGGATCTCTTAAAATTGTTTGTGTAAGTGTAAATATAAATGGGCTGGCAGGAAAGGCAGGGAAGGTTAAAAAATTTAGATTACAAAGTTTGGCTAGAAGGAGCCCACTTTCTTTGTTTACAAGAAGTTCATCAAGATAATGATAAACAACCACTTCTGAGCTCCAGTTTGTGGGAAACAGCTGCTATAGCTAAAGGGAATAAAAGATCAAGGGGAACAGCGATTCTAATGAGGAAAAATACAAATATTCAGATTCTGGGCCAATTAGGAGATAGACAAGGGAGATATATATTCTTAAAAGCCAAAATAGAAGAAAAAAAATTTACAATAGCAAATATATATTGCCCAAACCAGGGTCAAGGAAAATTTTTGGAAAAGACTCTGAAGAAACTCCAAAATTTTTATGAAGGAGAAACTATTATAACAGGGGACTTCAATTTAGATATAACTCAACATAAGACAATTAAATTAAGTAAATGGGGTTTAAGAGATGCCTTTGAGATAGCTAACAAAAAGGCCCAACCTACATATTACTCTCATAGATATAAAAAATACACACGCATAGACTTTATTCTGATGAAGGAATCTAATGAATTAAAGATAAAAAACATAAAAACACATGGGATTTGGATTTCGGACCATGCTCCAATACAAATTGAGATGGAAATTAATTCAGAACCAAGAAACAAAACTTGGAAATACAATAGCTCAATGCTATGGAGGAATGAGGATAAAGAATACATAACAAAACAAATTCAAAATTATTTTAATGAAAACAGGGGTTCAGCTTCAGAAAGTATAATATAGGATGCAGGTAAAGCTGTAATAAGAGGCCATCTTATCTTTCTAGAAAAATTAAGAAAAAGGGAATACCTCAGGAAGAGAAAAGAAAAGATTGAAGAATTGGAAGCCCTTCAAAGACAACAACAGGTTAAATACAAGGTGCAAACCCAAGATCAAATAAGAAAGTTGAAGGAAGATTTAGATGAGTTAGATCTTTTTACAATGTGGAAAAGAGATATATTAGTAAAAAGTGAATTCCAAAGACCTAATATAAATTCATCAAAAAGATTAGCAAAATATTTAAAAGATAGAAAAGAAAAACAGAGGATTAAGACCATAAAGATGCAAAATAATAAGCTAACACACAATTCAGCTCAAATAAGGGAAGCTTTTGCTACATTTTACCAAGAGCTATACAGTGAAACTAGTAAGGGCCAATTAGAGGAAGTAATAAATTCAAAATTAGATGAAGAAGAGAAACAATTATTAAATTCGGAGATCTCAATTGAGGAAATAAAAGGAGTAATAAAAAAATTAAAGAAAGCTAAATCTTCAGGAATAGATGGATATACAGCTGAGTTTTACAAGGAATTCATAGAAATTTTGAGCCCTGAATTGCATATATTATTCAATAAAATTTTGAAAGGAGGGAAGGCACCTGATATTTGGAGGAAAGCTGAAATTATAGTTATTTTGAAGCCATAGAAAGACCCAAAAGAGACAGGATCATACAGACCAATTAGTCTTCTAAACCAGGATTATAAAATATTTGCAAAAATTTTATCTAATAGATTAGAAAAAATACTACCAAAATTAATAAAAACAGACCAATATGGATTTATTGGGCATCCAATTAGAAAGATATTAAATATAATGGAACACAAGCACAAAAAGAAACTGGCTCTCTTAAAATTGGACATACATAAAGCATTTGATTCAATAAATCATGAATTTTTGTGGGAGGTTATGAAGAAATTTGGAGTAGGTGACCTATTTCTTAATGCAACTAAAGAACTATACAGAAAAGGAACAGCTGCAGTCAGAATAAATGAGGGAACATCAGGGGAATTCCCAATCCAGAGGGGAGTAAGACAAGGCTGTCCCCTATCACCATTGCTCTTTGTTTTAGGAATGGAGGTGTTAGCGGATAGAATAAGAAACAGTGCAAGGATTGAGGGGTGTAAATTTGGGCGGGGACTGGAGGTCAAATTAAATCTTTATGCGGATGACCTTATGCTGGTACTATCCAATCCCCTAGAAGGAATAAGGGAGCTAAAAATTATACTAAGTGATTACGAGAGAAATACAGGATTGAGGGTAAATATAAAAAAATCAGAAATTATGTACTTCAAAGTAGATAAAGCAGAAAAAGTGGAAATAGATAGAATAACTGAAATTGGCATGGGGAAAGGAAAAATAAAATACTTGGGAGTAACAATACAAAAAAACATAGATAAGATGAAGAAGAGTAACTATAAAGAGGCGTGGAAAAAAGTTCTTAAGACCATGAAAAGATGGAAGGAAAAAAATTTGAATATTTTTAGGAAAATAAGAGCAGCAAAAATGTTCTTAATTCCAAAATTAATGTATTTGTTTCAGGTTCTCCCACTAGAAATTAATCCAAGACAAATAAAAACTTGGGATAGGACTATCAGAGAATGGATTTTGAGCGAAAAGAAACCTAGAATCTCAAACAAAGTATACTATATGCACCAGGAAGAATTAGGGTGGGGATTACCAAACTTGGAATTATATTACGAAGCTTTCCAATTAAAGTCATTAATAGAAAGTAGTGTAGAGAGAGAAGAAAAATGGTGCAGAATAGAAGATGCAGTAAACAATGGAGAAGGAAAATTTGGGATTTTTACAGAAAATTTAGAGGCTTCAATTAAAAAAACAAGAGGTCCTAGAAGATTAGCATTAAAAATATGGAAAAAATGGAAACCAATTTGGATGTCTAATATAGTAAAGTGGACACCACTAGAAAGCTTATATGGAAAAGAGTTTGGCCCTATATGGTGGGAAGATTTGAAAGATAAAGGCTACTACTGCATTAAAGATATGTATGATATAAATGGTCAACTGATTCCCATGGACAGGATAATAGAAAAAATGGGAAATAAAAACTGGATAAAAGTACTAGGCCTATATAACAAACTTAAACAGGGGAAATATGGAGAATGTCTAGACAAGGAAAGTGCGCTTGAAAATATATTTAAGAAAGGACAGAAGACAATGAAAGGTTTAGTAGGAGAATTATACAAAACAATGATAAAGGATGATGAATACGTAGTCAGAACATTACAAAATAAGTGGCAGAAGGAGGGGACTCTCACAAAACAAACTATTGAGGAATTAAAGAAAGGGATAAATAAAATCAAAATGGAAAAATATAAAGAATTAGAAAGGAAATTTATCTGGAAATGGTATAGGACACCAGCTCAATTAGCAAATATGGGAACAGGATTAAGTCCAATGTGTTGGCACTGTAAAGCAGAGAAAGGCTGGTATGCACATATGTGGTGGGACTGTTTAAATGCAAAAACGTTTTGGAATAAGATAACTAGAAAAATTGGGAAACTTTTCAAAATAACAATACAAGCCAATATGGAATTTATGTTAATGGCAATTACAGGGAATAAAAATATTGATGCGAAGAACCAAAACTTATTTAAAGCAATGATTCTAGCAGGTAAGGCAGTAATAGCCTGGGGGTGGAGAGATGAAAAAAAATGGAATTTGGAAAATTGGAATAATTATTTATTTGAACAAGTTCAATCAGATATTATTGAATGTATAACCCAAGAAGACTCACAGGAGGATAAAACAGAAGAAATTAAAGAGAAATGGGCAACATATATGAAATGGGTAGAAGAAGGTGAAGCCAGCATAGAAATTGTACAAAGATTGCAAAAGTTGTGTGCGTGGTTAAAAATAAAGATATAGAGAGAATTGTGGCGGGAGGGGTAGGAAAGGGGGGTGGGAGGGGGGGGGGAGAAAAAAGAAAGAAAGAAGAAAATAATAATAATAAAAATGTAATATGAATAAACTTGTAAAGAATGTGAATAGATAATATTGAAATATGTCACTATAATGTATGCCTACAATAGACAAGTATTATCTGTTCAAATATGTTATTATTTTTCTTTCTCAATAAAAAAAAACCAAAAACCAAAAACCTCCACTTTACATGCCATAGCTTCATTTGTAGGTTTACAAGGTCTTTAGCATTATCTGCCAAAGGGTGCTGGTGCTTCACCAAACTACCAGTCCTAGGATTCTGACAGATGGAGCCATGGCAGTTCAAGTGATGTCAAATTGCAATGATTCTACAATGTGAATACACTTGTACCTGTCATCATAGAAGATTCTGACCCAGAACTGTGATAGACCTACAATTACTGTTGTTCTTAACTACTTTTCACTGTAATTATTTACTTCTAAAAATACTCACAAAGCACTGCAAAAGCCCTCCTCCCCCTTATGCATCTGCCATAAAGATTAATGGTGTATGTGTGGTGAAGAATTTCCCAGAGGTCTGTATCACCGCAGTCCATTCTGTCATTACACATATTTGGCAT